TTTATTATAGATTTTTTGATTTCATACTTTCAATTAAAGTTATTTGTATGGTGAGTTTTTATTGTTGTACTTAATACATTGAAAGTCTGATTACTTTTTAATTAATTTAGTGATTTATGTATGAACTTGAGAAAGAATTGCGTAAATTAAACCAATAACAATATTAGTTGTGTGTTAGACTATGAGATCGAGAGGTAATTAGTGTTACATGCAGTAGTGGAGGAAGAGAAAAAAGTTAGGAGCTTCCCCTTCTTAAGCTAGAGGCTTCCATATAATTTAATGCTCTCAAGTTTGTTTAAAATTATATAAAGATATAATTAATTTCACAAGAGAAGGAAAAACTTTATTTAAGAAAACTAGTTAATTAATTTAGGAGAATCCGCAATTACATGCAATAACACTCAACAAATTGGTTTTGGAAGCATAACAATCCAGAATTTATATTAATTGATTATGGTGAAGTCGATACTTTAGTACCTCATATCTTAGTTTAGTTTTATTTTAATTGTTATTTTCTTTGTATTATTTTTAATTAAATTTTTTTCTTTTTCGATTGTTCAAAAAAATTAGATTAATTATTTTGGTACTTAGTTACTCACAATCCTTGTAAGTTCAACACATTTTTTATTATTATATTATTTGGAGCAACTTACACTTATTAGTGTGATTTTAGCACATCAATTCTTGCATTTTCTTTCTATATATTAATAATTTAATTTTTTTTAATATTTCTCTCTTTATCCTTATTCCCTTAATATTATCCTTTATTAATTACTCCTTGTATATTTATATATTATTTTATACCATTTTCCCCAATTTCTCTCTCTCTCTTTCTCTCTCCCCTCCCTTGTTGTGTGTAGATTAGAATTATTTAACTTTTTATCTTAATATATATATTTAAAGTTTATGAGGGCTCTTAGTTTATTTTATTCACTATTTTTTGATAGTTTAGACTTTTGAGAAAGTGAATATTAAAAAAGTTTTAGGTTCCCACATAGGCTCTCTCCCTATTTTTAGGTTTCTTAAAGGTGCTTTTACTTCTTTTTTATACACCTAGATGGTTCATTTAAAACTCATTTTATATCTTTTCCAATTGGCCTTTTAAATTGATATAGTCATTATCAAGTTGATACACATTTATATGTACTATAATTTGTAACTATTCATAATTTTTGAAATTTTAGCAAACATTATTAATATGTTTATCTAAAATTATTTATATTTTAATTATTAATCCCTAATTTCTAGAATAAGGGAGTAAAAAGGAACTAATTTGTGAAGTGCTACTTTGAATACAATATAATTTATATTTATGTTAAACACATTATGTAATTGAAGTCATAATATACATTTGAGTAAGTTGTTTCAACTTTAATAACATGTAGATATGTAACTTAGCTTATTATTTAGATATTGGAATGGAATTTGAGAACAAATGGCGAAAAGTTTGATATGAATAGTGCATTATTAAGTATTATTATATGGATACTTAATTTAATATGAAATTATATGTACATGCTCACCAATAAGTTAGAATTATTTTATTTGGGATTTATTAAAAATTTTAATAATTTTTATAATATAATAAAATTATATGAAAAATTATTTTAATAAGAAATTATATGTATTGTGCTCATCAATAACTTTGAAAAGGTATTAATTTAATTTACTCAAACTTCAACTCCTTAATGAATTTTCTTTAAGAGGTCTATTGTATATTTATTTGAGATTTTGATAGATTTTAAAAGGTGTTTACACCCAATTTTGCAACAAATAGAATGGTGTCATATGTTATCCATTTTCGCAAGTGTTTTGTTTGTTGATTAAAAATTGTTTTGTTGATGCAAATTTCTCCCAAATAAAGTTCAGCAGTTCTTTCCAAGTCATCAACAAAGCCATTCATTTGTTGCAAATTTCTAAGAGCATAACAAGCAGCATTAACAAGTTAATTGATTTGTTATAGATTTTATGTTGCCAAGGGGTGTTTACTGCTATAAATACACAGAAATGAATCAATCAAGATAGACCTACCTTTCACATAACAAGTTTAGCACTATTTCTTTTAATGCTCAAGTTTATCTAAATTTCAAGCCCCTTAGTTTTGTTTTAACGCTATGCTTCAGTTCACATTAGTCTTCAACCTTAGTTTAGTGTCTTTTCATTTAGAAATTCCAAAAATTAGTTACAGTTCTCTAAGGAAGTAATTAAATTCGCTTTTTGTTGGTGTTGTAATGGTCAGATTTGCTGATTTTAGTAATAGTTTTTTGTAATGGGATTGCTTCTTTTCTTTTATTGTTTCCCTAAGTTCTTTTAATTTAATCAAGTGATATCAATATTTAATCTCATGTTTTGTTTTGTTTCTATTGATTTATTTTTCATGTTGCCGATAGAATTTTTCATGTTTTCAGCTTCATTTACTTTAGCTTTATTTTTTTATATATTTAGATTTTCTTTTGAAAGCTTTATTTTAACTTAGTTTGCATATTTAAAATTCATTTAGATTTTTAGTAGCTTGGCAATCATATGCTTTTCTTATAGTCTTAGCTTTTCTTGATTACCTTAGTTTAGAGGAGTCCAAGGCATTTTGTTGTTGAACCCATTTAGTGCGAAAAGTTCATCCCTTGTTTCTGCCAATCGTTTGATCATTAAGGCGTAGTCTACGGTGTTCTTCCATCAAATCACAACTAAGTTCTACACTTGGAAAGAAGAGAGGGTCATTGGAAAAATATTTCTTGTTTTGAGCAAAACAAGTTGCACATTATTTCATTTGCCACATGTCAAGGAGATTTTTTGGGATAACAATCTCTTAGTGGCACACTTTGTGAGAGCTCCTACTGGTAGTCGTGTATCAAGAAAAGTTTTTTGACCCCCTCTTTACTTTTCCTAGGCATAAAGCAACCATAATCATGCCTAAGAGAGTTGGAAAAGAAGTTGCACAGCAAGTGGAAATCGCCTTTGTGACTCCAATACATTCTGAAACTAAAAATAGTCTAAAACATCTTCCTTTCATCTTTATATATGGCAAGGATGATGAGAAAAAGGGTGATTCTACCAAGTCAAGTAGCAAAATATCTTAAAAACTTCAGTAGATAAGAAAATTGCACAAAAAAGCTAATCAAAGCATAATACTTGGTCTAGAAAGCTTCTGAGTGGTTCAACAACAACAGTCAAATTTTTTCACTCAATATGTGAATAATATTGAAAGAGCCATTAATGAAAACTATTGAGTTGTCTAATAAGAAGCGACAGAAAGTCGTATAACTTTCATTGTAGTCTCTGAGAGAACCATGGAATAGGTTCAACAACAACAAAATGTTCCAAGGCAATTGCCATAGCAAAATCTTTCAAATATTTTGCTTGGGGGGCACGAGGGGCATATTAATCAACAATAGGTAGTGTAGTAGGTACTTAATGCTCAAAATAATGTTCTTGGTGTTGGCTTAACGCAGTTCAATCGACAATAGTAAAACAATCCTGCTAGAGGTATCCTTGGGCCACAAGATCCTATAAAGGTAGTATTTCGTGCAACCGAGCCGTTCAATGCCAACCAACAAAGATATTTGGGTTCCATTAGCGTCCAAATGTTGCCCCATAACCTAATATGCAACACAATGCCTTTTAGCCATTTGGGTTGTTAGTGGCATCCATTCCCATTAATAAAGTTCAGTTGATTGAACTAGTCTAGGAGACATGGTCCAGCTCTAAGACCATTAGTACGTCTTTCCTACCACGAGCCTTATCTAAACTGCATAGATCAAGATAATTCATTTCCTTATAGATTCAAGGTGCTTGAATTTACTTTGTTTTCTAGAGATACGAGTTAATCAACCAATGAACACGTTGATAGGTTCACTGTTCAGTGTGGGGAAGCATCAAGTGATGATTTTTTGAATATAAGGCTCTTTGCAAGTTCTTTAATTGGCATTGCACTAACATGGTACCTTAGTCTGCCACAAAATTTTGTGTTTACTTAGAGATAGATGGAAGATTTGTTTTATATTCAATTTTACTTCACGAAGCCAAAGATATCCATGGTCGATCTTTCTAGATTGACTCAATGGCTAGGAGAATCTTTAAAAAATTATCTTACACAATTTAGGAAGGCCAAGATGAAATGTCATGTTATCCTACTTAAGTAGGAGTTCATGAAGCTTACTCATAATGGTTTAGACATTTGACTTTGAAAAAAGTTTGAAGGGATGGAACTTAGAGACTTCTTTTAACTTTCTTACAATGTGGCTCATTACAAGAATCTTTTAAGGGAGGAATCCCAAAAGAAGGTAGCATTTCAAGGAACTTATTATTAACATGCTTTGGACCTCAATGTTACCAACGTCTTTGCGACAAGCCAGTAATTGTCCTAAGTTGGTGAAAGTCACTTAATAGGTTTTTGATTATTCGAAAAAGTTTGGACATATTAAACTACCACAAGGGCAAAGGCTTTTGATGGTTGCTGAAATTGCATCAAAAAATTATTGTAAATTTCATAATTCTTGGAAACATTTTACTAATGACTATATTATTTTTCGGAATGTGTTGTAGGATAAGATTGACATAAGGCTGTCTCATTCCTAGAAAGACCTAAAGAAGCTATAAGGGTTGATGAGAATCCTTTTCCAAACGTGGATGTTAAGGTCAATGTTGTTGACATAAGAAGCATCGCTTGAAGGACATATAAAGAGCAGACTTTGGCTATAAATTACCTTTGCTAGGTGATTGAGAAGAAAAGGGAACATCGCGGCCAACAAAATCAAAGGCTTGAGGGGCAAAACCATGCTGCCAAAACCCATAACTCCAAATCTAGGATAGAAGAAGCATGGCATATGTCACACCCCAAAACCCGAATTC